TATATGATTACATAACTTACTCTGCCCGCTAACTTTGTTGTATTAGCCATGCCCCAAGGCAAGCGTAAGTATTCTCGGTGCGATCCCAAGGTGTTGGGGTCTAAGGACCTGAAAAAGATACAAAAGCTTGTTCACCACTTGAGTGATGAAGAGGATGAATGTAAAAAGTAATTCGTTTTAATCATAATTTCAAGGCCTAAGCCATCAGAACATGTCAGTAAATATTCTCTTACTGATATACCTTGTGAAAGTTCGTCTACTAATCCTGAACATGATCCTGAGGTATATTTTGAGCTTTGCATAACAGTTTTTCAGGATGTTGATGAGCTTACTCAGGAGTGGAAAAATTTTTATAAACCTGGTGCGGCAGATGACGATGACTACCTGATTAAGTATCAAAGCAACCTGAAATCATGTCATTCAGAGGTACTTATAGCTAAAAACGATGATAACGTATTGTTTCAATATCGAGTAGATTTTACTAAATTTATTTTTCGCTTTCCGTCAAGTTGCTTTCTGTAACTGCAGAAAATTGCTTTGTTATTCTTACCAGTTTATTTTCCATGGTTCAAAATATGTGTAAGACGTATTTCAATCCAACAGTATAACAGTTGCGCATTTTAAAAGAAGATCTAGTTTCTACGCTATTCTGAGAGTGTGCTGTCTTCGCCTCGCAGACTCCGTTCCTATTTATCTTTTTGCACCTTGCTATCTATAGGTCTCTGAAGCTATGTCTCAATTTGCTGGCAGCCTTCCGGGTGACTTGGAGGCTTTCGATGAGTCTGCTGATTTGGAGGATCTCCCTGTTGAAATTCAAGACCACTTAAGATTGCTGACTGATGTATTGAAGCATTATCGTAGCGGGCCACTTCCGAAGACCGTAAAGATGCTTCCACACTTGCCAGGATGGGCGAATATTTTGAAAATTCTGAATCCACTTCAGTGGACAGTGCATGCTTACCAGAGAGTAGTCAAAGTCTTCGCTTCAAAAGGAGGAGAACAAGCCCTGGTGTAAGCTCTCGACGCACTGCTTTAGCCCGTCTGATCAGACTGCTAACTTATTTTGACTTTTCAGATTCTATGAACAGTGTATACTTCCTATGGTCAGAGAAAATATAAGTGAGAACCGTCGACTTGACGTCCATTTATTTGAAACTCTCATCGCTTCCATGTTCAGACCAGAAGAGTTCATTGCTGGAATTTTTTT